TAAGTGTAAATTGTCTTGTTCCATTGGCAAAATCTCTCTTTTACCTACTGAATCCAAGAACAAATACACTTATTTTAAGAAAGAAAAAACTTATCTAAATTTCGTTTTTTTTTCCAGTGTAACAATCAATCGAACCGAACCGAACCGTGGATTTTGTGAACCGTTCCACCCCTACTAGGCAGTTGCTTAGGGACCAAAGTTCCCCATAAAACTCTGTTAACATGTATGGTTAAGACAACTATTCCTTATTTATTTTTTTGAATAAAAATCCTTTCGCTAAAATGCCGTCGCCTTTTTGGAAACACAGGAAGGAGCAATCAGCTAAGTGAGCTTAGTGCTTGGAAAAAAAATCTTCCTTTAGAGACAGCATGAAAAGTCAGCTGAGTACAAAACATAGAGGAAAACAAGAAGAAAAGGGATAAGAAGAGAGGGACACAATGGGTTTTATGTGTCATCTTCTCTATTCATAGGGCCTCGGGCCCCAAATTTCCTAAATCCGCCCCTTGTTTTAAAATACTAGAAACAGATTTAGGAGCAACTGAAACTGTATGAGTTAAAATGGGATGTTTTAGAGTCAAACATGGACGTGATTTTGGTGACATAATGTGGAAAAAATACAGAACTGTATAGAGCAGAGCTGAAAGCCACACGCTTCATGAAGACAACCTGACATTCTCAGGTCTTTTGTTCCTTTAGTGGATCCCGTTTCACCCCCTCCCATTCTCAACAGCCTTCTCTTTCTGGGTGAATATGTTCAGGTATGAGCAAACTGTGGGAAGGAGCTGCTGGAACTGGTTTCACTGGGAAGCGGAGCCTCTGGAAAAAGGCTGAAAAATCACCCGGCAGGTTTCTGAAACACATCTGCTGACCTTTCAGGATCTAAGGACCCAAAACAGGCAGCTCCTCCTATTTGTTTATAGTGAGGGCGGAGGCAGGCCGTGTCTCCGGGGTTTCTGTCTAACTGTAAACAGCCGTGTGGTTGAATGTTTACATCTCAGCCTGGCTGGGAGCTATGTGGCATTTTGTTCTGTTAGTTAAACGTACCTTGCAGTCTGCAGCATCATGACCGTGTTCTCGCCCTCATAGGTGCAGGTGGGTGTAAACTCCACGTAAATGTCTGGCAAGGCGCTGCTACGGGAGTAACCGTGGCCACCGCATGACATGCGGCATACTTCGATAGCAGAGTTGGCTTCCCAAGTGGTGAAGGCCTTAAGACCAGCAGAGAGGGCGTGGAGCTACAGGACAAAGAGATTCAGTTTAGGAAATCATTCAATACTGCAAGATAAACGGCTGATTTTAAGAAAGGTTTATGATCCTCTGCTTTCTTTTTCTGCAAATAATACAGCAAACTAATGGAGCGCACTCTCCATCATTCCCAATGTAACCCTAATACAAACAGCCAGACTTTAAAGTCCAAAGTTACGTTCATTTACACTTATTAAATATAAACACCAGTAACTCTGGTTGCATACGTTTTTCTGAAAGAGAAACACATTTTGTTGGCGCATTATTTATCATTTTTGTGTTTGGAGTCTTCTTTTCGCTCAATTGTTTGTAAATAAATCTTGGCCTGTTTTCCAGTGTAGTCCTGTTTCTCTGACTGTGACTAACTGGATGTGCTCTC